GGTCTTATTAAATAAAAAACATGGAGCCAAATATAGAAGTGAAAGCCTTAGAGAGATCAGGAAAATAGGGAAAGTCACCATACCTCACCAACTCTGGAGCTTCCAAATGCAAGTTACTTCCTGTCTACCCACACCTATATGCCTTGCTCTTCTGCCATCTGATTTACTCTCTCCATTCAGCTACATATCTTCCTCTTCCTGCCCAGCTCTGTCACTTCCTCTCTGTCTATACAGCCCTCCAGCCCTCCATGGTTAACTAGTTTTGGAATTAGGGCATGTGCTACCATTGCCCAACTTCTTTGTTTACTTAAAATGGCTTGCTATTTCCTCTAATCTCCAGGCAAGCTTTATTTATTAAAGCACAAATAAAATTTTACCACATTTCAGAACAAATAAAATATCACTACCATATTTTTTAGTTCCATTCCTTTGCCTCTAGATTTCATTTTCTTTACAGATGAATAGTATTCCACAGTGTATATGTACTGCATTCTCATTACCCATTCATTAGTTGAAAGTTATTTGGGTTATTTCCTTTTCCTAGTCTATGTGAATAGAGTGGTAATGAACAAGACTGAGCAAGTATCTGGGGTTGGATGTCAAGAACTTTAGACACATGCCAAAGAACTGCATAGCTTGCTCATAAGGTACGTGCTTGCTTGCATGTGTGTTCACACTACATGTATGTCATGCCCACGGAGATCAGCAGAGGTGTCAGAGCTTCTGGAACTGGAGTTAAATAATGTTGTGAGCCTCTAAGTAGGTTACGGGAATTGAAGCTTGGTCCTCTGCAAGAGTAAAAATGCTGTTAACCACTGAGACATGAGCCATTTCTTCTTGCATTTTCTTTATTGGTAATTATATATTTTATGAATATATTAATTTAGAGTTGGTTTTCTGATAGAAATACCAAATAAATCTGAGTGTCGAGTTTCAATAGTAGTTTGTCATTAAACAGAAAGTGCAATGTACATGTTCAGAGGGACTAGCCTGTGACCTGGTGAGCTGAGGACACAGGGAACTTTTCCTCTTAAAGTCCAAACATGGCCTAGGGCTTGGCTTCCAGCTAAATGAGTGTGCAAGCATGTCCATTTAATGACTGTGACTAAAATGACAGGCACCACTTACACTCACATTCTCTTACTGAGACTGGGTTTAATGATTCCTCCCAGTTGTGAGGTTCCTGGGAAATTGCTGCACTCTGGAAAAGAAGCATAGGTCTTTCTCAACAGCAAACCAGCAAACTGTATGTTATTGTAAATACTAGAAGTATCATTTTTCTTTTCTTTCTTTTTTCTTTTTGACCTGATGACTTCTATTTTTGTTTTATTTCTATGACTTCTTCACTGTATGTTTGAGTGAAAGCAACAACAATTGTATCACTGTTTTCTTCCTGCTTTTAAAGAAAACACTTAAAGTTTAAAATATTCCGAATGGAATTTCATTTATTTAAATTTTTTTCATTTTATATGCCACACAGAATTCCCCATCCCTCCCCTTCTCCTGCTCCATCCTCACCTTTCTGCCACCCCACACTCAATCCACTCCCTTAGGGAGTCAACAAAGTCTGGCATACCAAGTTTAGGCAGGCCCAAGTATCTCCCCCCTGCATCAAGTCTGAGCAAGGTATCCCACCACAAGGAATGGGCTTCAAAAAGCCAGTTCATGTACCAGGGATAAATTCTGGTCCTACTGTAGAGGTCTTACAAACAGTTCAAGCCACACAACTGTCACCCACATTCAGAGGGCCTAGTCTGGTCCAGTGCAAGTTTCTCCCTCTCTGCTTTTTGGTTAGTTTGGATAAGGGCTTGTCTATCTTGATGATTTTCTCAAAGAACCAACTCTCTGCTTCATTGATTGTTTGTATTGTTCTCTTTGGAGCCTTTCATGGAACTCACTGTGTAGCCCAGGCTGGCCTTGAACTCACAGACATTTCCTTCCACAGCCTCCTGAGTGCTGGGATTAAACGCATACACATTCACCACCCAGCTGCACCCTGGCTTAATAACAATAGTTTATGAGTTTGGATATCTGATTATGTCAAGTGCAGATTTGTTCTATTTCTTCTTGAGTACTAGTTTGTCAATTCCACAAAAATATTTACTAGGACTTTTATTGGGATTACTTTGTGGGAGACAAGTGCCATTATCATAGTAAAACTTTACTCATTAACAGAGTAACACTCCAGTAATAATTAATTTTGGATTTTTTGAGACAAAATATTCATCAATTATCCTAGACTTAAACATGCTATACATGTCTTCCTGACCTCCAAAACACCTTCTTCCTGTCTTATTTTTTTAATGCTGCAAATATAAGGATGCACGGCTATGCTCAGTCTTGGTCTGTCTTTTGTAATATTTTATAGTTTTATGTGTAGGATTTTGCATATTGTTCATTATGCCTATTAGTAAGTGCTTGCTGATATTTTTACATTTTAAAAATTTGCTGTGTGTGTGTGTGTGGGTGTGCGCGCACATGCATGTGCTATGACATACTTGTGGAGGTGAGAGGATGACTTTAAGAAAGACAATCTCTCCTTCTATCATGTTGGTTCCTGGAACTGGATTGAGGTCATCAAGCTTAGGAGTAAGTACCATTACTAGCCTAGAAGTACGCAACAGCAGCACTCACCTCTTGGGTATATATATATCCTCACTCACTGAGGATGGTGGCACATGTCTTTAATCCCAGCATGCAGGAGGCAGAGGCAGGGGGATCTCTGTGAGTTTGAGGCCAGTCTGGTCTACACAATGTTTTTCAGTCTAGCTAGGTCTAGACTGTAAAACCTTGTTCAAAAAAAAGGAGATAATGAAATTGGGCAGTAATTAAAACTGTGATTTTAGTGTACCTATTGTCACAAATTGTGTATTGTGGCTCAGTGCTATGCTGGGAAGGATCAAGAAGTGAGTGGAATGTCCTAATTGTCTCTTCACTTGATCACTGACTCACTTACAAGGTGAGGGGAGCTCTGCTGGCCTTGCTGTCTTCTGCCACGTTTTTTTATTTCAATTTTTTTCATTTACAATTTTTTTCATTTTACATACCAACCTCTGTTCCCTTTCCCTCCCCTTCTCCCATCCCCACCAATCCCCCCATCCTGCCCATGGCAATGGGACAAGGACTTATCCCAGGTACACAAACTAGCATTATTTTTTAATTTTTTAATTCATTTTCCATACCAACCACAGATCCCCCTCTCATCCCTCTTCCGTATCCCCCCCACTTTCCCCCCCAATCCCTCCCCCATGCCTCCTCCAAAAGGGTTAGTCCTTCCATGGGGGAACAGCAAAGCCTGGTATATTCACTTGAGGCAGGACCAAGTTTCACCCCCATGCATCAAGACTGAGCAAGGTGTCTCACCATAGGTAATGGGCTCCAGAAAGCCAGCTCATGAGCCAGGGATAGATCCTGATCCCACTGCCAGGGGCCCCTCAAACAGACCAAACTACACAACTGTCTCCCGCATGCAGAGGGCCTAGTCCAGTCCCATGCAGACTCCACAGCTGTCGGTGTAAAGTTAGTGAGTTTCCATGAATTTGGTTCAGTTGTCTCTGTAGATCTCCCCATCATGATCTTGACCCCACTTGCTCATATAATCCCTCCTCCCTCTCTTTGACTGTCTCCCAGAGCTCAGCCTGGTGCTTGATTGTGGATCTCTGCACCTGCTTCCATCAGTTACTGGATGAAGACTCAATGATGACAGTTAGGGTATTCACCAACCTGATTACCAGGGTAGGCCAGTTCAGGCACCCTCTCTACTATTGCTAGTAGTCTAATCTGGCGTCAACTTTGTGGATTCCTGGGAATTTCCCTAGCACCAGGTTTCTCCCTGGCCCCATAATGTCTCCCACTATCAAGATATCTCTTTCATTGGTCTCTCACTCTGTCCCCGGCCCCAGCTTGACCATGTTCTCATTCCCCATCCCCTTCCCCTGATTGGCCCCCTCACCCCCAATTTACTCATGTAGATATCCTCTGTTTCTCCTTCCCAGAGTGATCCATGCATCCCTCTTACGGTCCTCTTTGTTTCCTAGCTCATGAACTGCCTTTTTAGAGCCCATTCTCTATGGTGCAATGCCTTATTCTGCCTTGTTTCTATGATAACACTTGTGAAGAGGGAGATTCTCTAAGTCTACAGAACTTAGATCACGGAAATTAAGAGAGAAGTCTGTCATTTTATCACAAGCATGAGCTCCTTGTCAGGTCCCTCTTTGATAAAGAAAAGGCTTAAAGCAAAACTCCAGGTTGTTGTATAGTCCAATCTTTTATTATTGCCACCAGAGGCTTTTCGGAGAAATTTCAAGTTAAAATGCATCTTACATCTCAGGTTACCCCTCCTATCTGTCTTATCTACAGTGTTGTTCAGAGAGAGCAGTTAGGAGCCTCACTTCATAGAAGAGACACACTAAGTTCAATGACTTGAAAAGTAGGTTTTGTTTTAATGTGTCCTTTAGAGATTTTTTTAAGTGCTTCTTTCCTATACTAAAGAAGAATTATTCTCAGCAAATATTGCAAGACAGCTAAGTTCTACTTCCTTAAGAGAGCATATTTTGACATCCCCGAAAGTTGCAAAGCAGAAGAAAAGCAGGCAGCAAGTCAAACTCAACTCAAAATGCTAGCAATGCCTATGATGCAACCTGGAATGATCTCTAACTACAAATTATACCCCGGAGACCAGCACACCATGGAAGACTATTGATCATGAGTAAATACAGAGAGCTGCTCTCCAGAACTGCCTTTTCAAACATTAAAAAATTAATTGAACATTATTTTGGGGAGGGAGGAGATGTATGAAGATGGATTAGACGATTCTACACATAGGGAAAACATTCTAATTAAGAGACTTTAAAAGCTACTGTAGATGTTTATTTGATACTAGCAATGTGGTCAGTTATCATAAAGTATTTCTCTTCATCACAAAATAGTAAGGATTTAAAAAGTCCAAAGGGAAAAATCTAGAAGCTTTAAAAATTTGTTTGAACTGAGCCCTAATTCTTCTAAAAAGGGTCTCCAAAATCTGGAGTAGAATTATCATACTCCATAATGAAATGCTTGAGTTCTTCAACATGTTGCTCACCTATTTCATGCAAACTCTGCTTCATTGCAAACTGTATAGGTTTTTCTAACGAACGATCCTTTTCAACCAGCCTTTCCACCACCATCCCGAAAGTTTCACAGACTTGTCGGTAAACCTTCTCAATCTCCGTGATTTTTGAGGCAATCGCTTTTGAACGACTGCTAAACTGGCTGTCTTCACACAATTCTGGGCCAGCTGTTGTGTTTGACTCGGGTTCTTCTGTCTGGTTGATACATAATGGTGCCTTGGATCCCTTAGGGCCAGCTGTTGTGTTTGACTCGGGTTCTTCTGTCTGGTTGATACATAATGGTGCCTTGGATCCCTTCGGGCCAGCTGTTGTGTTTGACTCGGGTTCTTCTGTCTGGTTGATACATAACGGTGCCTTGGATCCCGTCTCAAACTCGGAAATTTCAGCCAAGTTATTTTCTTCTGACTTCTTGGGATTTTCATTAGCCCACTTGCTTGCAGCATCAGCCTCTTCCTTCTCAGTCAGCCGGCGGGGGCTTTTTAACACCTTGGATGAAGAACTTGAGGGCACAGTATCTCTTGATGTTTTCAAAAACTGGATGGCTCTCTCTCTACATCTAAGCCGAGACTGATGGAAGGAGCGCATCCTGCTTCTACTGCTGACACTGGAGCCAAATCTGCTGGGTAGGGAGTCCTTCCCGCCCACACGTGATTCTCTCAAAAAAGGAGCGCCCCGTTCATGGGGAGATCGTTGTCTTGAATAATGGGAAGAATAGAAACGTCTTCTTCTAAAGCCGTTTCTCATGGCCCTGTATTCAGGCTGTCGGCTTGTGGCATACTCATCTCTTGACCATCGGTAGCCATAAGGGCCTCTTTTGTAGGGTGGGCCACTTTTTGGATTCTGAGAAAAACAGCGGCCTTCATCCCATTCTTGGTAATCGACCTGACAGTAGTATCTACCGTAGCCTCCTTCATCGGGTCTGGCTAGCAGAGATGGTCTCTTGTCTCCCAGAGGCGGTCTCTTCGGCACGTTAATTAATCTATGGTTGCCATCACTGGGATGGTTCCAATGAGGCGCTTGTCGTCCTGGAAGTCGCTTGCAGTCATACCATCCCTGCGCTTGTTTTCCTGGAAGTCGCCTGTAGTCATACCATCCCTCAGACCACATTTCATCTCTTGTGGAAGCCACTGTCCTTCGAACAGAAATGCGTATTTCCCTTCCTGTTCACTTTCAATTTCCAACCATACTCATGGCTCAGCTCAAGAATCTGTTATTGTCTAAAAATTCGTCATCAGAACTCTCCAATACGTACGTTCCACCGCTCCTGCTGAAACCCCACCAACAGCTCTCTAATTAGACTTAGGCCCACTCAACAGCAGGGAAATCATGCCCGGTCCTTGAAAGCTAGGAAATTAGCTGGAGCTAGTGAGGTCATGCGTCCTAGACGAGAATGCAGTACTACCACTTGACTAAATCAGTACAATTCCTAAGTGAATTCCACTTACGACAAATAAGTGTAGTTCTCACCCCTCACCAAAAAAAGCTTCTCTTTGCAACAGAGAGAGACCATTGCAGAAAACCACAACCACTCAAATTCAGAGAACAAGTGATTGTGGGGTGTCTAGCCCCAGCATACACACACACACACACACACACACACACACACACACACACACACACACACCCCACAACTCCTGCACCTAAGGCTCAGGGAGCATCATTAAGAGGAGGAGGAAAGATTGTAGGAACCAGAAATGAAAGGGAAGCTTCACCCATGATATTTCAACAATATGACTGCCTAAACAAGACCTGAACAAGGACAATACCAATCAAAACGCTAACTTGAAAGGGGGGAAATCTCATAGGGTTCCACCACTAAACAAAGAACTACAGACTGCTAAAGAATTAGTCTTCCCCAGGGATGACCCTTTTAACTGGTTACCAATATCAAGTGGTCAGCTCTGAAACCATATACATGTATAAGCAACACTAAATACACTGGGAAGACTGTATTTATATATGTGTGTGTGTGTGTGTGTGTGTGTGTGTGTGTGTGTGTGTGTGTGTGTATGTGTGTGTGTGTGTGTGTGAGTGTGCATGCAATAATTAAGGAAAAGAGATCATAAATTTGAGAGGCATCCAGGAAGAGATGATATGGAAGGGAAGGAAACATGAAAGGAAAAGATGTGATTGTATTTTCATTTCTGAAAATTTAAAAATTAAATAAGATATAAATATTTAAAATATATAATGCAAAGAATACAAACATATATTTACATATTGAACAAATGTAAAATTAATTTTTAAAATTAATTTATAGAATAGCAAAAATCATAATATTCTAATAAATTTCAGTAGTGATAAAATTAAAGTGCCTTAAAATAAAATTAATAATGTGGGAGAGCATTTTTATAGTCCATTATAAACTTTTATTAGAAGATAATCAACAAGACACACATAAATGGAGATAAATATCTATGGACAGAATTCTTGTATCAATATATCAATTCTAACAAATCTCATATACAGATTTAATGATTCTAATAAAAATCCGAACAGAGACTTTTAAGAAATTTGACAAATTGAAACTGAACTTCACAGGTTACAGTGAAGATTCAAGAATAGGTAAGAAATGCCTGAAGAACAAGAAAGAGGAAAGGGGAAACAGGGCAGGGAAAAAGATAACTATGAAAACTTGCTCTTCCAGATCTCTGAACTGAAAAATCCATAGACATGAAAGCCGTGTGGTTTTAGTATAAAACAAAAACAATAATCAATGGAACAGAATTGAGGTACCAGTCATGTATTCATATACTTCAGAGTACAGATACCAGATATGACCCAAAATATCATAACATTATGGCCTTTTATTTTCATTGACCCCATTGTTGAAGATACCCATACTTGAGTCATAGAATATGGCAGAATCAAGTTGGTAATGACCTAAATGTTTCATCCCTGCTGGCTACTTTTCATGTGCTGGAAGATGCTATGCAGGCTACCAAAGGAGCAAAGTAATCATCAGTCATAACTATCTATGAAACCTTTGAGCTACAACAACGATCAGCATAACACATGGCCATTGGTGTAATAGTAGCTCAAATAGTATTGGTGTAACCAACCACTTTTTGATTGGATTTGAAGCAGCCCAACCCTGGAAGGCAATTTTTTCTGACTTCTCGGGAGAGTCAGGCCTGGAACTGCTTCAGAAGGGAAGGGTATCCTGACACTTTGGGAAAGTCAAGGTATAACTGGTGTGATGGGGGATGGCCTCCCCGCAGGATATAGCAATCCTGCTCCTCTCCTGGAGAGCCCCTACAGCTGAGCTTTGCTGAGCCCCCACTTAAGGGGGTTTCCTAGCAGAGCTCTGCTTCTCTGGCCTAAGATGTTGCTTCTTTTGCTTCACTCTGCGAAAGAGGAAACCCCTGCAGAAATGCAGCCATCTACTCCAGCTCTGGAGAAAAGTGTTACTTATCCACTGAGGGATGTCTCAGCAAAGATCTTCTGTTCAGCTCCTCCTTGCTCTGCTCTTTCAGCTCTGCCTTGTTTTGTCCACTGGGAGACGTCTCAGCAAGGATCTTCCCTATGCCAGTGAATGAAGACCTTCACACCCAAAACTCTTTTGAGAAAGAGATTCATTTGGGTAGGAGGCATCCAGGAGAGTAGCTGCCTCTACCAGGGTGGAGAGAACAGCCTTTTTTTCTAACTGACCAGGCAGGGCAGTTTACACAGGATGTCTTGGGGGATGAAGTCAACCCCAGGCCCAGGGTTCTACTATCCTGCTCTGTGATTGTTTAGTTTCACAAGTCAGTTGGCCAGGGCAGAGATGGCTTTGACATGACGGAGCCCAACTGTATTTCTTTCTGCCCTGATCTGAGTCATCTTTCCCTAGTTCTGGGCTCCAGAGTCAGGGTGGATTTCTTTAGCCAGCCCCTTTTTCCTATACCGGGGAATCCCCACCCAACTCTGCCCCAGTTGCTGGCCAGCAGGGAAAACTCCCTGAGGCCAGGCTCCCCACCCCATTGGACCCTGTAATCTATAAGACCCAAGCCCTACCCCAATATCCATCTTCCTGTGACCCCAATAACTTTCTGAGACAAGGAACAGGCAAACTCCATTGGACCAAGAGGTGAGTGATTCCTCTCCCTCCTGTATTTTATTGGACCACCATGGCTTAATGTTAGATTTCAACAACTTCCACAACAACAAAAATTATAGAAAGCCTACAATCTCATGGAAACTGAATAATGCCCAAATGGATCAACAATGGGTCAAGGAAGAAAGAAAGAAAGAAATAAAGACTTCCTAGAGATCAATGAAAATGAATACACCATATACCCAAACTTATAGGAAGCCATGAGAGCAGTGCTAAGAGGAAAATTCATAGCACTAAATACCCACATAAAGAAATTGGAGAAATCTCACACCAGTGACTTAACAGCACACCTGAAAGCTCTAGAACAAGAAGAAGCAAACTCACCCAGGAGGAATAGATGCCAGGAAATAATCAAATTGAGAGCTGAGATCAATAAAATAGAAACAAAGAGAACAATACAAAGAATCAATGAAACAAAGAGTTGGTTCTTTGAGAAAATCAACAAGATAGACAAGCCCTTATCCAAATTAACCAAAAGGCAAAGAGAGAGCACCCAAATTAACAAAATCAGAAATGAAAAGGGGGACATAACAACTAACACTGAGGAAATCCAGAGAATCATCAGGTCATACTTCAAAAACCTGTACTCCACAAAACTGCAAAATCTAAAAGAGATGGATACTTTTCTGGATAGGTACCACATACCTAAGTTAAATCAAGACCAGATAAACTATTTAAATAGACCAATAACCCTTAAGGAAATAGAAACAGTCATTAAAAGCCACCCAAGCAAAAAAAGCCCAGGACCAGATGGTTTCAATGCAGAATTCTACCAGATCTTCAAAGAAGAGATAATACCAATACTCTTCAAATTGTTCCACACAATAGAAACAGAAGGAACATTACCGAACTCTTTTTATGAGGCTACAGTTACTCTGATTCCTAAGCCAAACAAAGAAGCAACAAAGAAAGAGAACTACAGACCAATCTCCCTTACGAACATTGAGGCAAAAATACTCTATAAAATATTGGAAAACCAACTCCAACAACACATCAAAAACATTATCCACCATGATCAAGTAGGCTTCATCCCAGAGATGCAAGGATGGTTCAACATACTAAAGTCTGTCAATGTAATACACCATACAAACAAACTGAAAGAAAAAAAAAACCCACATGATCATTTCATTAGATGCTGAAAAGGCCTTTGCTAAAATCCAACATCCCTTCATGATAAACGTCTTGGAGAGATCAGGAATACAGGGAACATACCTAAACATAATAACAGCAATTTACAGAAAGTCGACAGCCAACATCAAATTAAATGGGGAGAAACTCAAACTGATTCCACTAAAATCAGGAACAACACAATGCTGCTGTCTGCTCTCCCCGTATCTATTAAATATAGTACTTGAAGTTCCAGCTAGAGCATTAAGACAACAAAAGGAGATCAAGGGTATACAAATTGGAAAGGAAGAAGTAAAAACTTTCACCATTTGCAGATGATATGTTAGTACACATAAGTGACCCCAAAAATTCTTCCCGGGAACTCCTACAGCTGATAAATATCTTTAGTAATGTGGCAGGATACAAGATTAAGTCAAAAAATCCATAGCCCTCCTATAAACAAATGATAAACAGGCTTAGAAAGAAATCAGAGACACATCACCCTTTACAGTAGTCACAAATAATATAAAATGCTTTGCAATAACTCTAACTAAGCAAGTGAAAGACCTGTATGACAAGAAGTTTAACTCTCTGAAGAAAGAAACTGAAGAAGATATCAGAAAATGAAAAGATCTCCCATGCTCGTGGGTAGGAAGGATTAACATAGTAAAAATGGCAGTCTACAGATTCAACACAATCCCTATCAAAGCCCCAACATAATTCTTCACAGACCTGGAAACAATAATACTCAACTTCATTTGGAAAAATAAAAAATGCAGGATAGCTAAAAGAATCCTGTACAACAAAACCACCTCTGGAGGCATCACCATCCCTGACATCAAGTACTACTATAGAGCTATAGTAATAAAAACAGCTTGATACTGGCATAAAAACTGACATGTGGACAAATGGAATCAAATTGAAGACCCTGACATTAACCCACACACCTATGAACATATGATTTTTGACAAAGAAGCCAAAGCTGTACAATGGAAAAAAGAAAGCATCTTCAAGAAATGGCGCTGGCATAACTGGATGTCAACATGTAGAAGATTGCAAATAGATCCATATCTGTCACCGTGTACAAAACTTAAATCCAAGTGGATCAAAGACCTCAACATGAACCGAGTTACTCTGAG